GTCATCTATTATAGATGACATGGGAGTTAGCAGGGAACCCAAGAAGAATGACAGCACTTTGGAATAGCCACTCAGGGGAACTCAGGCTGAAAAATAAAACAGTACTTAGACTGGAAGAAGAGACAACACAATTTTAGTGTATGGCAATTTTTCACTAAAATAACATAGAACACTGAGGTTTATAGGCAGATTTCATGGAGACTATTGTATAGCTGTTTAAAAAGGCTGAATACTCACAAAATCATGTTGTCTTCCCCAAACCCTTAGCCCAGTATCTAAATTGGATGGGTGGTAGCAGAACTACCATTTTCAGGCAAAATGAATATGTTATGTTCTTGATATCAAAACTAATTGTTTAGCTGATGAATATGTTGCAATTGATTAGAAGTTCACTGGAACCTAGCCCGGTATTTCCTCTAGGAGCAATGGTTCAGTATTTGCTAATTCACTGTTTGTGGTAACTTTATAGAACATAACTATTGTGAATAACAAGAGTTGACTGTACCTTAATTAAGAGTGAAAATAAAGATCTAATAAAAAACAGAGACTAAATTGCATATAAACCAATAAGATTAACATCATGGGGGAAGGCCAGAAAATATAAAAGAGAATGGGGTCCAAAAAACAGGAGACTGGGTATCTTTTTATCTTAGACTGGGGAGAAGGAGATAAGACAATAATCAGATGAAGAAAACTTGAGTGGAGGGAGGGAAATGGCAGAGTCAAAGAAGGTCAAATTCAGGAAAGAGTTGAGGTCATCTATTATAGATGACATGGGAGTTAGCAGGGAACCCAAGAAGAATGACAGCACTTTGAAATAGCCACTCAGGGGAACTCAGGCTGAAAAATAAAACAGTACTTAGACTGGAAGAAGAGACAACACAATTTTAGTTTATGGCAATTTTTCACTAAAATAACATAGAACACTGAGGTTTATAGGCAGATTTCATGGAGACTATTATATAGCTGTTTAAAAAGGCTGAATACTCACAAAATCATGTTGTCTTCCCCAAACCCTTAGCCCAGCATCTAAATTGGATGGGTGGTAGCAGAACTACCATTTTCAGGCAAAATGAATATGTTATGTTCTTGATATCAAAACTAATTGTTTATATGATTTTTCAAGTGCCAGTCTTTATATTGTATTTTTGGAGTCCTCCATTTAGCAGTAATTGGCAATTACTTATTGAACATCCACTAGAAGATAGGAGCAAGAAATACACAATGAAGGAAATATAGCCTCAGCCAGCAGGAATCTTTTAGTTAGTGGGATACACCAAGTGAAGAGACAATTACATTTCAGAGTCGCTAGTGCTTCAACAGGACAAACGTGGGGTGCATGGGAACAGTCAGGAGGCCTCAGCTCCAGTCCTGGAGTTCTCATGGGAGAGGACTTGGCTAAGATAACTTGGCTAGAAACAACTGGCAGGGAGGGGACTCTAGGCAGTGCAAAGACCGGAGACACAAACTATATAACTTTGCTTGCCAGAATTAATATCAAAATATCTGTTCTATTCTGTTATATTACACTTTTGAGACCAGCGGTTCGCATTATTGCTCTTAATCCTAAACATTCTGTGTAAAAGTCTGTATGTGGGATCCGAACCCTCGGCGGGAGCGCCACCGCACTCCCAAGTGGTGCACTGGAGCAGTGCGCCACCGGGCCGGCCCCACATTCCTCCATTTTTGATTATAATTATAATCTATTTAAATTTTGGGTGATCTTAAATAAAAATAAATTGTTGTAAGTTTATAAATGTTAGGCAGAAACAAAAAGAGGTATATATCTATTATCCAACTATTTTAGAAACCCCACAAAGATGACTTAAGAATATATTTTGTCATATGGTAAGGATTTGGGGTGACTTTTTCATTTAACATCTTTATTAACTAGCTTTCCTAAAGTGGTTTTTAATAATTCTTGAGCATTTTTTATAGTCAATATTTTTTCTCCTAGGCAAAGTTGTGAGAAAACTTTGAAGTAATAAGCCTTAAAGCTAAGTATTCTGGCAAAGTTCGACATTAAAAACACATTTTTTTTTTTTTAAGAATAGAGCTTTTCTATAAATATTCACTATGGATGAATACACTGCTTAGAAGTGGTCTATGTTTCAACTCAAATAAATTTTAAATTGTTTATCTGTCTTTAATTTATGGAATAGTGGTATAAGTGGTTTCAGATGTGTTGGGAGCTCTTTTTATTCTTCAATTGACTTTTATTAAAACACCACCTATAGAATACTTATTTGCAACTTGAGTCTTTTTTGCTTCAGGACAGTTTAAAGTTGCCTAAATGTTTGTTTTACACACAGACTCATTGTTTGAAAGGAGTTTGGGGCTATTTAGAGAAATGCACATGAGCTATGTGGTCATATATTGTGTGTTAAATTAGGCATTTTCACTGACCTGTAGACTGGAAGTATGTTGCTGTGAAAACATGGAGAACAGTATTTTAAATATATGATCAAACTATATTTGCCAGTTATTGAAGCTGGCTCAGGGGTCTTGCAAAATAGATGTCATTAAGAGTTTATTATCGGATTAAGGAATACCACTGAGGGTTTTTCGTTTTGTTTTGTTTTGTTTTTAAGATAAGCTCTTTGAATTTCTAGAGCTTCTGGTAGAGTGAGTGTTGTACTATTTATAAGAAATGTGTTACCTACGCCAGTGTATTTTCACGATGCTACTGTGATTTAAACTTGATGACATAACAGTCAGAAATGGTCATTTGAGATTATACTTCTTTTAAGTGGTATATTTAAACTGAAATGCTGTATATTTTTATGTTTGCTGTCTGAAGTGGATGCAGAATGTTTGCAATGTTGGTAGAGGGCGTTGGGTTACTTAGTTTCATGGGGGTAAACGGAATGTACTATTAGTGAAAGAAATAAAGTTATTATTTTAAAAAATGGTTTCAGTAGAGGAAAGAGAAAAACTACTAAGTTATTAACTTGACATTTTAGATGTGAATTATTAAGTGGCTTAATATGGAAATGTTATACCACAGAACTAAAGCCAAGGGGAAAATTCTATTTGCTTTAGACCAATTGTAGCAGAAAATTAGTATCAGGAGTATTCTCCAAGGATTACCTGAAGCAATGATTCCTAACCTTTTTTCTGTTATGATATCCACGGTATTCACGTGTGTAATAGATTTCCGTGGAAATACCCAGATGTTGTAGAAATGCTCAGTATTTTTTCACACATCATGAGGGATAATTGCTACAACTCTTAACATTTTACTGTTCCCT